GGGAGGGAGGGAGGGAGGGAGGGAGAGAGAGAGAGAGAGAGAGAGAGAGAGAGAGATTTGTGCAGGGTTATTTAGCTTCTCCAAGCCTCAGGCCCAATTTGTACCAACTGTAAGATGGGGCTAAGGGCCTGAGCTGGGCCGATAGATCGTGTGGGTGTGAAAAGAAATGAGTCTCAAATGGGCGAATCCAGTTCAGCTATTACAAAGATAACACTTTCATCAGAGGAGATCCTGGCATGGCTTTGAGAAGGAGCTGGCAATGGTGGGAAGCGAGGTGGGGCAGGCAGCTCTTAAGGGGAGAAAGCTATGATTTTCAGACCATTATTTTTCCCCTGCTGATGCTTTCTGGGGGCGATCATTTCCCAGAAATCAAGGGGAGAGAGCCCTGGCTCATCTCTTTAAACGGTATCCTCCAAGCACATTTTGTTCTCGGAGGTCACTTGACGATGTCTATCTGTCGGGGCAATCAGAACAATTTTCGCACACACTTACTCTCACTTTCTCAGCTCCAATTTAGGGTAAAGTGTGTTCTTCTCAAGATGAAAATCTCGTGGGCTGGTTAGAATGTGCTCCAGGGTCTGTGGCTGAGGGGAGAGAAAGTGCTGATTACACGTCAGGGAGGCCACGGTGGTCCAACCTCTTGGAATCTTCCAGGCCTGGTAGCCCTGTCCTGCTTCCCTTGGAAATAAGATAACTGGATGACCATGCTGTGTTCTTCCAATCCTGCGGTGTTGACTTGAGTATCAGAGCGAGGAGGGATGCTCTCGTGTTGGCTGGGAGGAGGAGAGTGGGAAGCAAAGCAGGTGTTTCACTCAGAATGCCCATGCTAAGAGCATCTTCCTTGATGATCAAACTGAAAGCAAGCCTTTCCCCTCACTGAAATATCACCCACCGGATTTCTTGGGATTGCGCTTGTTGCTACTGCAGATTTTTTTAAATTCCACTTTTTTATGTATATGAGTGTTTGCCTGTTGTCTGTGCACCACATGCATACCAGGTTCCCACAGAGGTCAGAAGCAGGCATTGGATCCCCTGGAACTGGAGTTACAGATGGCTTTGAACCACCACGCGGTTGCTAGGAACCAAACTCTGGTCCTCTGCAAGGACAAGTGCTCTTCATCTGTGGGTCGTCCCTCTAGACTGGCAGGTTATCTTGGTCTTTGCATGTTTATTATTGATTGCATCCTTTGCCCCTTCCCTGAGATGGAAGGTCCAGTGGGCAGTGGTGTGGCCCACTTCCTTTACTGTGATAGTCCCAGCAGTGCTTGGGAATGGCCCCACATGACAAAAGAGCCTCACATAAATACAGAAATAGTTAAATTAGAAAATTGCTTATTACGTGGGCTGTTCAGAATACTGCTGCTTGTTTTCACAGGGATGAAAACCTAATCTCTGGAGTGTAGTCATTGATAACCTCCAAGACAGGGAGGGGTTCAGATGCAGAAGGGTTCTGCTTCTGGTAAGTCAAAGAGCACACATTTACACGCAGTCTGCAATTTCAAAATTGCATGTTCAGAACAGCTTCTGAAACTATTTTATAGGAGAAAACTTACTCTATATGTAAGGTTGGATCAGACCCAGCAGGGTCACATTCTGGAAGCCTGTCCCAGATGGTGGTGGTGTTTTAGATTTGGAACCTTTAGGAGGAGGCACTGCTGGTAGCAAGAGGTCACTGGCCCTGAGTGTCTGGACTCAAAGTTAGGATTAGTGGGAGCTTGCTAGAATGCAGATTCTCAGGTCCAACCCAGATCTACGAGCTCAGCAGTTTCGCTGCACCAAGATCTTCAGTTACTTTGCTATACTGCATAGATCGAGAAGCCTTGCACTCATGGGAATGTTGTGCACAGTATAAAGCAAGCAGCATATAAGTATCATTGACTCATAAAAGCCCATCTTCCACCCACCTGGTTTTCTGACAAGGCCCATGCTCTCTGTCTGGGACAGCCTGAGCTAACAAGACTTAGATAACCACACTGCTTTTGTGTTCTTCCTACACGGTAAACCAGATGACTGTTGACTGCCCTCTCTGCTCCTTGAGGCTTGCCACCATTGGTGAAAGCTGCCGTGACCTTATTCCCCAGCCTTTAGTGTCTTGAGTTCCCAGTAACCATGGATATCATCTATTGGTAGTAGAACTCTTTTTATACCTCCCTCTTTCTTTTTTCTTTCTTTCTTCTTTCTTTTCTTTCTTACTATTGCTGGGTCTTGAGGCAGATTGATTCCCAATTTTCTGAGAAACTGCCATATTGATTTCCAAAGTGGCTATATAAGATTGCACTCCCACCAGCAATGGAGGAGTATTTCCCTTACTCCACATTCTTTCCAGTACAAGTTGTCATCAGTGGGTTTTTTTTTTTTTTTTTTATCTTGGCCATTCTTACAGGTGTAAGATGGTATCTCAGAGTTGTTTGATTTGCATTTCTCTGATAACTAAGGATGCTGAGCATTTCCTTGAGTGTCTTTCAGCCTTTTTAGATTCCTCTGTTGAAAGTTCTCTGTTTAGATCTGTACCCCATTTTTTATTGGATTATTTGGTCTTTTGATGTTTAGTATCTTTGTATAATTTGGAGATCAATCTTGTCTGATGTGGGGTTGGTGAAGATCTTTTCCCATTCTGTAAGTTGTCATTTTGTCTTGTTGACTGTATCCTTTGCTTTACAGAAGTGTTTCAGTTTCAAGAGGTCCCATTTATGCTTTCTCTAAGTGTCTGTGCTACCAGGGTTATATTTAGGAAGTGGTCTTCT